TTGTACTACGATTTTTATGCAAGATTTCCAAAATTTTAGCAAACGTCTATCATATCTATATAAATTGTAGTCTAAAAGATTGGCCAATCACAGAGATCTTCACCTATGCTTATTTAGGGAGGGTTTATATAGTACTTACACTGTACTTAGAGGGTGTGCACTTAGAAGATACGCGATTGTAATAAAACAAAGTTAATTTTATAAAGATGCTATATAAGGCCACGCAAATTTAATTTATTGGTTCTCGTAACATGAACCTTTTTAAATAGACTCGGCTTTTTTTTTTCAATTTTATATATAACAATTTAAAAATTTTGACCCGGCCCGGGTTACGAAAACCAATTAATTAACTTTGCATGGCCTAAATAGAATTATAATAAAATATACCATTCAAATAATGTATTATCGGCAAATGTCTATATTCTTTATACAGTATATATAATGAAAAAATCCTAGTGTATTGGATTTTTTATTTTAGATAAAACAATTGTTTTTTTTTCGTAGAACTCATTTCGTTAAAATTTTGCCTAAAAAATGAATGACTAATGTAATTTCAAAAAACTTGAATTGTCTAAATAAAAAAACCCACCATACTTAAGAATACATCAATATGCATGCTTAAGTATACATAAGTATACATATAATCTAAATTTTGTACATGATGCATTATTTAAATCGCTCAATAAATTTTGTAATAAATGAAACATTACTATATATATTAAATATAATTATAATATCTATTATACTAAAATGAAATTCTATTCTATTCACTATTCTAATTCTTTTAAAACATTTAATGTATATATTATGCGTGTGAAACTGCAGTAGCTACCAACGACGTCTACTAAACGGATTTCTTAATGGTTCTTTACCACTTTTACGATGCCTAATAACCGGTAACTGTTCTAATGGTTCATCCCCATTGGTACCACGCGTATCATGATCACTGCCCGACAACGAATTAAGATCATAATTTGATGGGTCATGAAGAAAGTTTTCAATTTCAACCTCTAATAAAGTTCTAATGAATTCATAAATCATTGATCTGATTAATTCAATACGTCTACGAGAGGCCATTGATGTTGGTGATGGTATCGGTGAAGCGCTATTTGAAGAAGGAGGTGTCACGTGAGAGTTAGAGGGAGGATTGTAATGAACGAATGGTTTATTTTTCGAATGAGAATATGGAGCAACTAACGATGGCTGTGATGAAGGATGTTGTTGACGATCGAAGAAAGTGAGAAGCAAAGATATTGCGGAATCTCGTGATTTTATAGAATAATGAGTAGTTTTTTCACCTATATCAATATTATATAGTAGACAGAGATTTTATTAAGTGTATTCAAAGAACAAGTACGTACGTGCAAGAATTATTTGGTGTGCTTACCTATTTCTTTTTTCATGAGATCAGCCGTACTACTTCTAATAAATCTAGCAAAACTAGATTCCAATAGTACGTAAACGGCCCTCTTGGCGTCATCAAAGCAATGTCTTAGATCACGTTGGCTTTTAATAAATGATATAACACTTTTTCTAACTTTGTCGTCAATATTTATTTCGAATTGAGAGTTTCTCGTTAAATAAGTATCAAATATGTGTTGAGCTATCGTATATTGCTGAGCTAAATTGGAGTATTCAAATGATTCGAATTGTTCTACTTCGAGAAAGAAAAACAAATTTTCACAAGAAAATTCTTCGAGCAACGAATACAAAAAATAACATAAAGGGATCTTGGAATGTAACATGGCTTTCAGTCCCTCTCTCTCGATTTCTTTAACACAGATATCGATAGGAGGTTTATCACCGAAAAAACGATATAACTTTTTTGAAGATAATTCAGTTCGTATTTTATATTGATTATGGTTATCATAATTGGCCGATTGAACTAAGGGCCGCTGTTGTGAGAACGAAGGAATTGGTTGAGATAAAGATCTCACATGTAGAAATTGTTGTTGTTGTTGAAGGTGCTGTGATAAAGTTCGACTAGACGAACGATCTTTTTCATTGAATTCAACAACCTTGGAAAACGTATCGTCTTTATTGACCGAAAATTGGCTGGGAGGTGTATAAAACATTTTTGAAGAATCAGAAGAATTCGAAGGTAGCGTAGTGATAGTAGCATCAATCATGACCACAGAATTAGATGGAATAGAATCTATAGAAACAGCCGATCCACGACGTTTAGAAATTATGTTTTGAGTTTTTGCTGCCAGCAGTAACTTTGTAATGTTTTCATCATCCACAACGGAAGAACGTCTTCGCGATGATCTTGGCAGTGACATAGCTGTACGAATATATATTAAACCCAAAACCAGGTACTTGAAATATAATCAATATATATGTTTCAAGTAATATGCGAAGACGTTCACCGAAGGGGAAAAAATTTGACTAAAAAAAAAGAGCGAGTGCCAAAGAAGGAAAAAAAAATAAATGGCCAAATGGACATAATTTATAAAAAAAAAAAAAGACAAGAAGCGTTACAGTAACATAAATAAATAAACAAACGTAGAAATGTAGACATTCAGCGGGTACTACCGTAATTCAAATTGGATTAATCACACGCATGTGTGGTTTAATTTATTTACATCATGTTAAAGATCACCTATTTAATGGGCGTAAAGTACGACTTAAATCAAATAGGCAAGTAACTTAAAAAGAAACGCATACGTACGACGTGTATATACGTACGAACGTCAAAAATTAATGCATGCAATATTAGATGGAAAATAAAGACAAGGAAATTACATAATTAGGGAAATTAGAGAAAAATTCTATTTATAGACATATTGATATGTCATCTTTGTCATTCCCTACAGCAAATGACGTTGTTTACCGATCCCCTTTTGTCAAAAATGTTAATGAAGTACAAAGCGCTTTTGTTCGGTAAGGACGATCATCATCCATGTGGAAAATACGAAGATCACATCAACAACATTGCATGTGTTTCAGGTTTACGTTTCATAGTTTCATACCTTATCTTGGCGTGGATCTCGGGAATGAACCAAAGACTACGTAATTGTCAAGTCTATTGATTTATTCATCTATCGTTCACCATCAATAAATCGTATTTCTGATTAGACGATTCGATAATATAACAAAAAAAAAGGACAATTTTTAAGAACGTTTGTTTATAACAACCCATCGTTAAGTCAGAGCCAGTGGATTTTAATAGTAGCAAAAATAACACTAACGATATCATGACAACCACATAAATTGTTTTATTTTAATTCTATAGATATATAGAGTTAAAACATCGCTAGCGCTATTTTTGCTACTATTAAAATCCACTGGCATGCTTTTTTTTTCGGTAAACGAAAATTTAGAAACTCCTGTGAAAATAATTCATAGACAGACTTTTGTATGATTGGCAGATTAAATAAATTTAATTTTACATTATTTATACAGTTTAAAGTACTTTTTTAAAAAAAATAAAACTACTACGAATAAACAAAAAAGAAGTATATAGAAGGTTTTACTAGGGTTGTAGGACTCCACTATTAAAAAATAATCAAAATTCTTTTTTGTTTTAGAAAAGTTAGCATGGTGATAACCTAATTTTATCTATTTTTAAGAAGTCGCTATTATGCTAACTTCTCTAAAACAAAAGAATTTTGATTATTTTTAATAAACCTTTCTATATACTTCTTTTTTGTTATTCTTCGTAGTTTTATTTTTTTTAAAAGTACTTTAAACTGTATAAATAATGTAAAATTAATTTGATTTAAACTGCCAATCATACGAAAGTCTGCCTATGAGAAAATAATACAGTATATTTATTTCCGGCCGCTTTAAAACTACGACGGAAGTCATCATAATTAAACGGAACCTCCGGCATTTTTGTGCTCTGCTGGCTCTGCTAAGAGTATTAAAAATACTATCCCTTAATCCGTAAGTCATTTCCAGCCTGGAAAATTTAACTATTATATTAAATTGCCCACATCAAATCGGGGCTTAGAGACGAATTTTTAATTTGTAAATATCAATGATTAATCATTTTGATGCAAGTTTTGGTAATTGTGATAAAATTAGATATTTGCGTGTAACTTAGTTCATGTACGTACGTATGCATTACATACTAATCGATCATCAATAATTGCATTGTTGATATAATTTCAACAGTTTTAATAATAGCGGTAGCGATAGCAAAATCTAAAGCATTCTAACATTAACAGTAATTAAATGTTAGCGAATTAAGTCCAAAAGTTTAAAGAATTGAATTTCTTGATAATTTAGCACTACACACATATTAGCATTTTCAAATCGTAGAGTTGTATATTGTTGATTTGTTATTAGTAATAGTGGTGGCAATAATGAACTAAAATTCAAAAGTTTAAAATTTGAAAATTTGATAATTTAGCACTAACATTAATATAAAGTGTCAATAAATATATATATGAAATTTAATGTTAAACTTTTATTGAATATAAATTATATTATAAATTGTTGCTTTCACAACTCTCTCTGACGATCACTTGGACCACCCTCCTCACAGAAAGGAAAAGTAGAAAAAGTTTACTGGAGAGTCGTGTAGTTACAGGATGGTTTGTAGCGAGGTCATAGTGGACTCCTTGCTATGTTCGGCATGCAAGCCAGAAACTGAAAATTGGATTTGTAAAGGGTGAAGCGATATGTTTCGCATGCAGGTAGTGCCCTGTATGAAGTGAAGTATAATTCTGGTGGTATTATTATTATCATTGATGAAGTTTTGTAGACTATAGTTTGAGAGAGGTCTTGGTTGTTTTTAGAGAGATCAACAACTGTCTCGAGACTCCTTTCTATATCTAACATGCAAGCCAAAAGCAAAAATGCAAAGGAGAAAAAGACAGGTGGTACTCGCTATTGTATATAAATTTTGGTAGAAGAAATTCTGTTAGCGAAGCCTTTAGGACTCCTTGAGAACCCAGGAGTACAGTAAACTTTGAAACTTTTTGGTTTCAAGCCGCACTCTTTTATTCTATACAAGTGGTCTCCTTTATTACACTCTTTCCTGTTGCTGCTAATCCTTCAAAATTTTCAACAAAAAGTGAGGATTTGGCTTACCCTCTCCAAACAATCGGTATAGGTTACACAGTGTTTACATTCCCATATAAGGTTAACATGGTAGATGGCAATCACGTGTTTGGCATAAGCGAACATAGTGTTACCGGTTTTGGCTCGGGGCCGCAGGAAACTGAAGAGTTGGCGCGGGACGATGACAGTACTTGATTAGAAGAACCCGAGCAAAGACTTCCAGAAATAGTAAGGTCAGGGAGGAACTAATAGTATAGGCAAAGCCTTACAATAGAGATATGCAATATTGCTATGAGCATATAATTTTTACACTGACCTGGCATGGGTTATAATAGTGCTTTTTTTTTTTTCTCGTCAGGATTGTCGACTCTTTTTTTTTACTTTTTTTGCTGGTCTATTTATGTTGGGATTATATTTAGAATAGTTTCTTTTTGTGGTTTTTGGTTTTTTTTTTT